GAGTATTATTGCATACCTTCTCTCAAGCATATGAATGCTGTAGACAGTTGAATAGGAAACCATACGAATAGGTTTACCCTCCTAGCAGTCAAACTGGAACAGCATACAATAAATCCTTCCCCCAATAATGAGACAACACTTCACTTTGAGGGTTAAACAGGAACTCCCTGTACTGTCACATACAGTCTCTTTTATTCCCAATCCACAAACATAGTACAGCCCACAGGGCGTTACAAAACAACCAATCAATCCGTACAATACACCCAGACACTCCCACACAAAATCCTCCCCTCTGCCTGTGATATGATTACTGAACACAATGGGTAATCTCATTATCACCGGCAGAGGAATACACACACAATATTTATAACTTCTAAAATATACATGTCACAAACATAAAACATACATTTTCATAATCAATCCATTCAGGGGAACAACATATTAAAAAATGGCACGAATCAGACCAGGGGTTCAAAAGTTAAGGGAAAGTCCTTTGTGACTAAATGAAGCATGGCTTTCCAGCCCAAACCAGTTTCAGAGTCTTCTATCCTGGAGAGTAATTCAATTATCTCCCAGGACAGACACAAGACTCCATTAAGCACATGGTGAGCACAAAGCATTAAAATATTATAAAATACACAAAGTCACATTTTATACATAAAACACAGACATGTCACATATCCCCAGATAGCTGGGATCTGAGCGCACAAAACTACCGAAAAGCGCTCAGATCCTATTCACACAGTTCAATTGCCATGGAGCCGAAGTCTTTAACTACACGAATGGGCTCCATGGCATAGCTATCTGGGTTAACACATTCACATAAAGTCTGGTCCATAGTCCAAAGGCAAGAGGCGGGCAAGCAACCCCCTCCAAGGACACGTGGCGAGGCCGATTTCGCCACACCATGGACTGAGTAAGGGACCAAAGCGAGACAGAAGTAGATGCTTTGGCTCTTTAACTACACAGGGGGCTATTCACTAAACAAAATAAGGTTAAAATAACCAAACTGTGACTAGCGCTGAGTTAGAAATATTATATGAATAATCTCATACGTGAGATGTTTTTCCTAAATTGTCCAGTTCATTATTCAATATATGTCAGTTTGGTGTTTATTAAATACACCTGCTCAGTACTGATAGAATGAGAGGACCAAACCGGCAACTAAACTGACACAGACTGACACAGTCAGCATCACTGCTCACAATGCAGTTTGTATTTCATTCCCTGTTCAGGACAGCATTGTGTCGCTCCCAGCTTTCTCAATTTCTTCCAACCACATCTGCTGGAAGGCTATTCCTTGCATCTACAAATTTCTCGAGTTAACTCCAAAATTCCTCTCCTTCCTGTTTCATCTGGTCTTCACTTCCCTCTTCCAGCATTAAATATCACGTTAATGTCACGTTAAGTTACCCGTACCTATTCATTCTTTCTAAGCATTTATTTGCCTTTATCGTTTGCTTCTATTGTGTGAAATGATTATCTCATCCTTTTATCATGATAGAGCGCACTAATTAAATTCAAAAGAAAGCTTTATTAGTAAAAAAAAACACCTCCCGTTCTGTTGATTTCTTATATTCGCAGTCTGTGTTTAAAGACCATTATCGGCTCCTCTTCTCCGTGATCCCAGCAACGAGAAGAATAAACACAAAGCGAAAAGGAACATCAGCAATTCATTTCCTTTATACATTGGACCTCGCAGACAGAGGAGCTTTCGGATTACTATCAATATTCTACAAGTGGAGAAGACAACCTGGATTCAACATGACAAGCTTGACATCAACAAGAGGTAACACAGGCCATGTCTAAATAGATTAATCATAACAGACAGCAAAGTCAGAGGAGACGTTCCACATTGTTTAGTTTACTTTCCATTTCGCTGTTATGTATTTACTGTCGCTGCAATGCCGACCAAACATTGCTGTTATTGTTTACCAAACATTGCTGTTATTGTTTACCAAACATTGCTGTTATTGTTTGAAACGTGAACATCATACGATATGTTTATATGATATTATGTGTTGCTATATATATATATATAAACACTAAGAGGTTTATTTACTAAATGCTGACTTTATTGAACTGAATATCGAATTGTAAAATTTAGACAACAACAGCTGATTTGGGGAAAAAAATCCACCTCAGCTATAACCAGATTAGGGATCTTAACCTAAATTTTGTAAATCTGAGTTTAATGAATTCTTTCTTATTCTGCCAAATACTGAATGTAATTTAAACCTTTTCCTCTTTATATATCAAATTAAAGGAGGGGCTTTGTATGTGGCTTGTATTCCCCCATTAAGAGATGCGTTCTTGTGGTCGTTGTAGACAGATACGATGCTGAAAGCAGTTGCAGAAATCTGGGTTATCGCCCTCGTACTCCACGTTTGGGGTGAGTAAAAAGGAAACTGTCTGAAAAGTAGCCCTTATTCCAGGTACTGCGACCACATCACGACTCTAATTACAGACAGCTTTATATATGTACATTTTATCATTAATAATACATAGTAATAGTGCAAAGAATTCTGACAAGGTAACTGGCAGCATGGATGTGTGATAACCTGCAGAACACAAAAATTGCATCACACGAGTTCTAGATACTTCGAAAGATAACAAGGTGTCTGTTACATATCTGGAAGCATAGCAGCAAATTGGAAAAGTACGAAAAGTGACTTGTGTTTCCACTTCTGCCACTTTCACCTAAAAGTTGAATTCCTGACATTTCTCACTTTGGTGAATAACCCTGTGTGCGTAATAACGTGCTTACATTTTGTCTG